AAATAAGTGATGCAAGACTAACTACATGAAAAAAGGTAAATCAATTATGGAAGAATCGGGTGTTGTGTCGGAGTCATGATCGGGCATCGGGTTAGAAGAATCGGAGTATGCACCGAGAATGGGTGTTGTCGGAGTCAATATGCTGGAGGATCGCGTAATGCACCGAATATCTAAACGATGTGCTGGAAGTTCATCGGAAGCTCATCAAGAGTTCACCATAAGTGCGCTAGAAGTTTCGTCGGGAGTTCGACTGAACAATTGACGTGTCGGATAACTAGATTGCTTGATTGTAATTGTTTTGGCCTTAATTGATGCAGTTAGGTCTTAATTTGAGTTAGGTTTGGGAGAAATCCTACTGACTCAGTTAGGGGCCAACTATGCCAAAATTAAGATTGAATTGGTCATATTGTTTGGCTCATTCAATGACCCAAAGCCATGTCAAACGGTGGCACTATCGAAGCTAGTGGTGGCACTGTCGAAGCTAGTGGTGGTATCGCTTGAGGCTTAACCTCCTAGGTGGTCTGGGTGATGGTACCACCCAGATTGATCGGTGGTACCACCGACAGTTAATGCTATCAGGAGGTGGTACTGCTCTGTCAAGCAATGGTGCCACCCTGTCAAGTAATGGTATTGCCAGAGCCTTGTCTCTGAGGCTCTATCAGGTGGTGGTACCACCGAATGTCAGTCTGTAGGCGGTAGTATCGCCCAATAATGGCGATGGTAATACCAATACCCTAGAAATCTAAGATAAGATACTTTTTGACTCTAATTTTGAAGTCATTGGGACCTATAAATACCTCACTCTTTTCTACATGAAAGTATAACAAAGTGTGAACAAAATATTAAAGTATTAGGGTATGAAAGTATTGTAAAAGTACTAAGTGTCCTCCCTTTCTAAGTATTATAATTATTCAAGTAAGATGTGAGGCTTATAAAGGTTGTCTCCTAAACCCGTGAAAATGAGAAAGTATTGTAAGAGGGTGGTTGATTTTCACTTATTAAAGGAAGACCATTATTGGATGCTAGTGACCTCAACGGAAGAGGAATCAGAAGTGGATGTAGGTCACAACGACCGAACCATTATAAATCTAATGTGTTCTTTCCTTACTGCTTACTTTCATTACTTAGCTGCATTCTGTATTGTAAATTTACTTCAAGTCGATATCTTCTTGATACGATTTTTTTGTTATATTTTTATCAACTTAGAAAGATTTGGAATCGCAACCGTCATTTTTATCGTTGTACTAATTCACCCTCCCCCCCCTAGTGTCGTATTGATTCTAACACATACAAATTTTTTTATGGAGGACTAATATTATTCTTATGAAATAGTATTGCTACTTTTGGGTATATAACTCTAAATTACAAGAATATCTAAAACAATATTATCCTATCCCATCACATAATTATTCGAAGTAAATTCTCTTTAAAAATTATCTAAATCTCCTAAGTATGAATATAATTTTCTTAATATCATTTAGAATTTTAATATAATTTTAGAAATTATTAATCTAGATCACTTTGACAACTATAGGGCTAATACAATAATATAAAATATAGTTTAAAATATCTTATAAATGATAAAAAATTTTATTATAAATTATATCCTATAAGTCTACCATCCCAGCTCCCTTTGGTAGCTATAGATTAGATAAAACTTAGATATATAATTTATAAATAATATTTACTAAATTATTTCAATTTAATTTATGTAGAGATAGTACAATAATAAAATAATAACCGTAATAATTATTGAATATTGATCAACAAAAAGAAAAACTCATATGATAACTATAATCATGATAAAATATAAACCATACCTTTATATTAAAAATAAATATTATTTCATAATTTTATATATATACATGTGAATAACCAAATAAATATCTAAGAATAATATTTGATTTTTTATTTATCGTATGCAAAATATAATCAATAAGTCATATGAGAAAACTAAAAAATCATAATTTATATTTTTTTAATTTCATTTGAAACCCTTACACCAATAAATCTTATTTAATTACGCAAACCTAGAATTAGGCTAAACATCAACCCAATTAAGTCAAGAATTAAATTGATCAATATGAAAATTGATCAAAAATTTATTTTTTCTAAATTTGATTAAGACTTGATTAATTAAATCAAAATCTAGTAAATAGTCAAATATAGACATGATCAAGTCCAATCAAAATATTTAATTAATTAATTTTATAATTGAGGGCATAAATAAAAAAATTTAAATTTTAAAAGGGTAAAACTATAATTTGACATAGGATATATAATGATAATTTATAATTTTCTAAGGGCATAAAGAAAAATTAAAATTTAAGGACACATATTTCTCTTATTTTTTAGGATAAAACTATCTTTTTAGTCAAAAGAAAAACCTAACCTCCCTTTCTACATGCGATCGTCGTTGTGCGTGGCCATCACCTTCGCGTGGCGATGTAACTACCATTCGTAGCTATTGCATGAGATGCAATCACTGCACATAGTGGTGCTGCATAGTCATTGGCTACAATTAGGCAAGCGATCACCAGAGGCCATCACCCTCAATAATATATCATCAACAATAAGCTATCGACAATGGTCTATCAATCAAACATGAGGAACCTTACATCGCTCATAAGCAAGCGATAAAATGAATCGGATAGAAAAGCATACTAGCAATATTGATGATTCATTCATGCGACGTAAATAAAAACTAATTACCTCTTCATGAGTGAAAGGTACTAACAAATAGATCTAAAGTATTTGATTTTAAAATCATGGCTTTGATATCAATTGTAAACATAAAAATCATAAGCTATTATTTTACAAAAAACTTTAATGCCGAAATCTAAAATCAAATAACAATAGATCTCTAAATTTACGATACGTACCTTTCGATACTAAAATATTTTCTCTGATCTACTAGCATACCATCATCGGATCCGAGATCTGTAATAATATCGACCTATAAGGAGAACTAGATTCGTCTTCTCCTCTTTTCTTATCTTTTACAAGACTATTATGAACGTTAGATTTAGGATCAAGGGATACAAGAGAATATTTGTAATATCTTGATAACTAATTCACATGATTAAGGAGAGATGAGAGAGGATTTGTAATTTCTTAATAATATCATACAATTCATTTATCCATGTATCCGCATAATTAATCATTATGTGTATAATTCTTAGAAGGTCTTATCTATTTATAGGCGAGAATAGATATTTTATGATAAGTAATTAGAAAAATCCCTCTCAAACAAGGTTATATTTTGATGAATTATTTTATAATTATATTTTCTATCTGATAATTGGATATTACTATATAATC